AAGAATTGGTTATTGTCCCATCGATCATTCCCCACAACGATCACAACTTTTGCTCCGAATTGAGTTAAAAGGCCAATTACTGATAGAACAAATCTCTCATGATAGAGCAACTTCAACAATCTGTGCCAATCCGTTGATAGATACAATCTTCCACAATTTGTGCCAATTCCGTTGATAAAGCAGATCTTCTACAATCTGTGCTAATGGTATAGATTCTTACCTTTTGTAAAAAAATTTCAATTGTGATTTTCCCGTTCATGTACATGCTTTAAATATAATACAAATCTCCACACCGATGGGTGTGTGATCAAATTCCGATTCATATCTTGCATGGTATAAGAGCTTCTAATTTTTTTTTCAATCTTATTTGTCTTCTTCATTACAATGCCTTCTTCTACATGCTCCATTACCACCACCATCGCTGTTGACTCTCCATCCTTGCTGGCCCCCTCCCAACCACCATTTGCTCTCGGCAATATATCTCATGTTCTTCAAATCAAGTTAGATTGCAACAACTACCTTTTGTAGCGAGCACAGTTTCTTCCTTTATTTCGTCTTCATGGGTATCTTCAAATTGTGGATGGCTTGTATCCTTGTCTGGCACCCACTATCACTACTGCTAAAAGTATCCACAACCCGGATCATACTGCATGGCATTATCAAGATTAGCTCATCCTCTGTTGCGTCCTCTCTACTCTTACTAAATCAGTTTTCTTACACATTGTCAATCTTGAGACTTCTCAAAATGTCTGGACTTCACTTGAGAAACTTTATACTCCTCAATCTCAAGCTCGCATGATGCAATTAGAATATCAGCTTCGATCTCTAAAGAAGGGCTCTCTTTCCATGGAAGCCTTTGTTCAAAAAGCTAATAACATTGCAGATCATCTTTCTGCGACTGCTCACCCCATCTTTGAGCATCCTCGGTGGCCCGGGTTCAAAGTATGATGCATTCGTTACCTTAGTTACATCTCATCTTGATCCACGACCTCTTGATGACTTCCTCATCTTTCTTTACAATCAGGAAGTTATTTTTCAAATCTGCACCATTGAATCTCCAATAGAGTCATTTCCAATTGTGAATGCTGCAGTCAAAACATCTGATGCCCTGAACACTCTCTCCAATGGTTGATGACGTAGCCGAGGATGAGGACGTGGCCAAGGCCTTGGTCGCAATTTTGGAGCTTACTCTCATTCTCGAATTATCTATTAGGTGTGTAGTTGTACATGTTGCTCAGCTCTCCAATGCTACTAGCGATTTAATCTTAGCTATAAAGCCAATACCGGCTCTCCATCTGCAATATATGCCTCTTCAACTGGTAGTCGTTTGACCCATACTAGCCACTCGTCATCTTACAGCTGACATAGCAAATTTGAACATTCTGAATGACTATTCCGCATCGATCAAATTCGCACTGCAAATGGGTCAGGTTTGAAAATATAACATATCGGTTCTTCCATCTTACATTCTCTTACCCGTTCTTTTAATCTGTGGATTGTTTATCATGTTCCATCCATCAAGAAGTATCTATTATCTGTTTCTCAATTTACCAATGACAACGATATGGTATTTGAATTTCATCCTACTTTTTGCTGTGTCAAGGATCGATCCTAGGGGAACCTCCTGCTCAAAGGCTAGAATAAGATTGGACTCTATTATCTTAATAATGCACGTACCACCAATAAGGATCCTCTACAGTCCAATAAATCACTGCCAGCTCCATCCTGCTTCATTGGTGAATGAGTTTTTGCTTCTATTTGGCAAGTGCCCCTGTTTGCATTAATTATTCCTCTATTAAGCCCCAATAGTTTCAGGGGGTGTCCACTACAACAACAATTCCGTTAAGTTTGTCTAATATCATTGTCAACTCCTCATCACAACTTCAACAGTCATCTACTTCCACAATTCCATGTGGATCCTCTTCTCCAAAAGCTCCACCCTTCCCATCTTCTCAACCTCAACCGCCAACTTCGACCCATCCAATGGTCACTCATCTAAAAAATAACATCCGTAAACCAAAGGTTTTTCTCCCACTAAGCACCCACCGTGTTTTTGTTTTTACTCAAGCTTGACACCAAGTGAACCCACTTGTTTTTCCATTGCAAATAAAGACCCTAACTGGTAATAAGCTATGGCCAGTGAATTTAATGCTCTCATTCAAAATGGCACTTGGGAACTGATTCCTCATCACCCTTCCACGAATGTGATCAACTGCAAGTGGATTTATCGCCTAAGCACCACGGTCGATGGCTCCATTGATAGATACAAAGCATGAGTCATTGCGAAGGGCTTTACTCAATAGGCTGGCTTGGACTATAATGAAACTTTTAGTAAAGTTATCAAACCGATAACAATTCGAGTTGTTCTCTCCTTAACTGTTATATATAACTGGTTTCTATGCCAATTGGACATCAAGAATGCATTTCTCCAAGGCATCATTAAAAAAAAAGTCTACATGAAGCAACCCAATGATTTGTTGATTGACGTTATCCTGGCCATGTACATTGTCTTCTGGAAAACTCTATATGGGCTTAAACAAGCTCCAAGGGCCTAGTTTTGTCGACTAAGCTCATACCTGTTATCTATCAGGTTTGTGACCACCACTGTTGACTCTTCATTATTCATTCAACATAGATGTAACCACATTCTGCTTCTGTTCATCTATGTTGACGATATTATCATTACTGGGAGCTCTACCTCCTCTATCACCGAATTAATCACTCAACTTGGCACTGAGTTTGCAATCACTGATTTGGGAAATCTATCCTACTTTATTGGCATTGAAGCCTATAGATCCTCTACTGGGATGTTCCTCACTCAATTCAAGTATGGCGCGTGGCTAATGCAAAACCTTGCTCATCGCCTATGGCTCCCTCGGCTTCTAAGTTGTCAAAGCAAAGTGGTAAACCACTGACCGATGCCTCCACATATTGGAGTATGGTTGGGGCACTGCAATACCTCATCCTCACCAGGCTCTTTGCTATTAATAAAGTGTGCCAATTAGACATTTTTTGTGGGTTGGAAATACAGAAGGCCACGGATCACACAAAGTTGCTTGGGAAGCTGTTTGTTTGCCAAAAAAGGAAGGAGGTCTAGGGTTGCGTCATCTAAAATTATGGAACAAAGTTTTGCTTGGCCGTATGCTTTGGAACCTCATAAATTGTCCGTCATCTTCCTTGTGGAGTAAATGAGTTCATAGTACCAAGTGTAGAGGCAATTCGATTATGCAGCTTGAAATCAAGGGCTCTATGGCATGGAGTTGGCATTGTATTCTTCAACTAAGACCGGCTTTAGCTTCAATCATATCTAGACCAAGATATTGTTGCCAAGAGGTATACGATGAAACCAGAAATGTGAGACCGGCTGTAGAATGGTCCCAATTGATCTGGAAAGGAGGTATTAGCAAGCATAACTTCATCGGCTGGCTAGTTTGTAGAGATAGACTACAAACAGCAGAAATCATATCACGTTGGAAGCCTGAAGTAGATATTCATTATAATTTTTGTATGTCTGGTATGGAAAGCAGAGACCATCTATTCTTCCAGTGCACCTAGACCGGAAGCATTTGGCGCACTATTCATGCACAATACGGAATTTGACGCCCTGTAGAAGGATGGAATGATGAACTTAAATGGATGATCAAGGCTACAAAAGGTAAGGACTTGGCGGCGAGACTTCTGAAGGTATATTTCCTAGCGATCATATACTGCATTTGGATGGAGCGTAATCGTAGACGCTTCCAACAAAAGTCAAATGACGCCCTTATCATTTTGGCTAAAGTTCGCAAACTTGTCAGAGGGCGAGCTTCGCACTACAAATATTTTAGACCGTCCTGAACAAATGAAACTTTGGCTACTATATGGAGACTCCCCCACTCCATTTTTTTGTAATCTTAGCTCTATTTGTAATGCTGGGGAATGCCCCTAAGCTTCTGTATGTCATCTTATAAATACTACTTACATTTACACCAAAAAATAATAATAAAATAAAATAAAGTGTGCCAATTTATGCATTGTCCAACTGTCGATCATTGGTCAGCCGTCAAACGGATTTTGTGCTATCTCAAGACTACAATTCATCATGGGATTACCTTGCGGCCTATGCGCCAACTTACCTTCATTGCATTTACAAATGCCAACCAGACCGGCTGCCCTAATGACCCAAAGTCTACTAGTGGCTATTGCATTTATTTTGGTCCCAACTTGATTTCCTTGAGTTCTAAAAAGCAACCAACTGTCGCTTGGTCAAGCACTAAATCGGAGTACAAAGGGGTGGCTAATGCACCCTCTGAATTACTATGGCTATTACAACTCCTCTAAGATCTTCGATACACTCTCCATCGGTCACCACTTATTCTTTGTCATAATGTAGAGGCAATCTATCTGCTCACGAATCCCATCTTCCATGCACGAACCAAGCACGTGGAAATAGACTATCATTTTGTTCGTGATTTAATCAGCAAGAAGTTGTTGGAAGTTCACTTCATTCCAACACAGGTGCAAACGACTGATGTCATGATAAAGCCTCTATCCATATCCCGATTTCTTATTTTATGCGACAAGCTCACAGTGACTCCGCCACTGTTTCGCTTGAGAGGGTGTGATAGAGCAAATCTTCCATGATAGAGCAATCTTTTACAATCTGTGTCTATCACGTTGATAGAATCAAACTTCCACAATTTGTGCCAATTCCGTTGATAGAGCAAATCTTCTACAATCTGTGCTAATATTATAGATTCTTACCTTTTGTAAAATCTTTTCAATTGTGATTTCCCTGTTCATATACATGCTATAAATATAATACAAATCTCCACACCCATAGGTGTGCGATCAAATTCAAATTCATACTCTTGCAATTACTAGTCACACCACACTCGGTCAATGATACGCTAAAAAAGTTGGAATGGGTAAAGTTAAAGTCAAATTGGATCTGTAAGCTTATATGTTGGACATCCATGAAGTTGTCATTTGCAGCGTGATAGGAGCTTGCCATGGGATAATTTAATCGTCATGAGGCACAAGTGCTCAGAGAAGCATTTTATTGAGAACAAAACCGACGCTTCAAGTACTTAGTAGCACAAGCTTCAAGTGGAAACGTTTTACATAGAGACAGTACGGGAACATAGTTGTTCCATACATCATACTGCATAGACAAAGTTCACAGAGGAGGGCTGGCTGACACTAAGCTAGCCCTCTTTATTCATTATATTGGGGTACATAGAGCACTCACGGAGCACGCTCTCATCGTTACTTGACTAATGTGTACCATGGCAACACTCGAACTTGACAATGTTGTTCATCATACGCGGGCAGACAGGGCACTTCACATCCTCCGGGATGTAACCCACCATGTTCGGGATATAGAAGTGGTGGCACCTCGGGAGGATGTAGACCCGGTCGAACTGCTCCCTGAAGACCATGTCGAACGTCTTCCCGTTCACGTTCACATGCTTCTTCCACGTCTCATACTGCACCAGGACCTTCGTGACGTGCACGTGGGAGTCATTGATCACAACCTGCGACCCCTTTGTGAGGACCGCAAACCCACCGTCCTTCTTGAAGTTGGTGTAGAGCCTGAGGATGTCCTGCATAAGGGGTTCGTGCAGGTCCGCTCTGGTTTGTAGCTTGGAGAGCATGCAGCTCTCGAGGCGGGTCCAAAAGAGCTGCGATTTGGTGACATTGAAGGCAACGATGGAAAAGCCATCGTCGATCATCTTCTTTAGCGACTCCTCAATCTCCTGGATGGCCTTGGGTTCTTCCGCTCCATACAGGAAGATGTACTTCTCAGCCTTGATCTGGAAAGAGATAGTGAAATCAATGTTTTTATCGATGAAAATAACTTATGCTCATTTTTCATGTCTATATATTGTAAATCGAACTAAACACTCATCTTACATTTTCAAAATTTCTGTACAAAAGTTCCAGTAAAGCCATGTCTGCTCAGATATAAGATGAAATTTGACCGTTTATTAGTAAAGAATGGACAACATGATAACGTGAAATAGTCTTTTATGGTTGTCTCTTATCCCATGTATGTCTGACAGATTCTAAGTTTGAATCAAATTCTTTTCTTACTGCATCAATTTAACTAAATTCATCTTCTAATAAGCAAACTCAAAGATCATAGTTTCTTTTCACACCCATATGCGTGCACCCTTGTTGTATAAAAAAGCAAAAGGATTAAAGAAAAGTGAAGAAGGAAATAAAGAAGAAGAAGAACAAAAACTTACAGCTTCCTGTATCTTTGGAAAAATGAAGTCAATCACCAAAAGCTCAAACCAGCTAATGCCAGGCCTCTTCCAGATGTCTGCTGCGACTGCACCGGTGAAAGGGAAAGCATCCCATCCCCAAACTCTAATCATGCTCATGGCATTTTGGTTTGAGACTTTTCCTTGTGGATCCAATACTGTCACCATGGTGTCTTGCCTAAAATGCCACTTCTCTTTAATGATCCTGATGGCCACCCTGTTGATAAGTGTAGGGGAGTGCACCGAGTACCACGGCATTTGCAACTGGAGGTTCTGGAACTGTTTGATCACGTCCTCGCCTTCTTGTTCGATGATAGGGACCCACACGATCTCGTAGCGCTCCTCGTGGAACTTGCGCTCATTGTAGATCTTGATGAGGATGGAGAGGTCGTGAGAGGTCAATTTGAGGTCCGAAATCAGCAGCAACACATTCTTCCTCCGGAGTGACTCGACCTTATCCTATATAACGAACAAAGAGAATTATAAACATTGGCGCATCGCATGCTTTTTATTGATTGCACAATTGATGAAAACTATTTTTGGGTTTGATTCCAACAAATGTATGTGATAAAATTCTTGGCAAAAGACAATTTTACGATGACGGCATGTTGTGTAAAATCTTGATGTATTGAACTTGTAACATAGAGTGATGTTCAACTAGAGAAAGTAGGAGATATGAACCCTTGTCTTCTTTGAGCCAATGAAGAGAGGCTGAGGATCATCCTTGATGTAAAACAAGGCCTTGATCAGCTCCACGTTATCGGTAGGGGCATTAAAGAGTCGCTGCAGCCTCTGATACTCCTTAATTTCCTCTGCATTATGAAAAAAAAAAAGTTCATTTGACAATTAGTCCAATATATTTAGGCCTTAATTAAGTAGACAAAGAGAAAACAAATTTTACCCTTTTTTTGTAAAAAATGTTCGTAATGTCTCTTGACAGTGTGGTGGATCATCTTCACTTTCCGAGCAAAGATAGGAAGATCTTTTCCCTTGTTGCTGGAAAAAAGCAACAAAAAGAGAATTCTCTTAGCGGCATGAGTCAGTCCAATTCATGCATATTTGGTCTCATCAAGTATTGATCTTTTTTTTAATCTAAAACTACTTCTCGTGCCTTTTCGGGACCCCAACAAGCAATTAGAAGTTAAATTCTTCTTTTACAAGTAAGAGTTCTTCACCCTTGTGAAAAACGAAAATCTGAAAACGAATCGGGCTAAGGTATAGTCCTCTATCATATAGTTTATTAATTAGAATAGCTGAAAATGATTTAGACCATTAAAGCTTATCTTTCATGAAAAAAAAAAGTAAACTCTTTCGAAAGCAAAAACAAAAAGAAAGGTATTATGCTTAATTAGTTAAACATACTCATCGACCGTGCTAATGAGGCTGGTGAACTGAATAGAGCAAGCAAGGATACTGATGATGATCTGATAAACGCTGCTTGGAACATCAATCATCGTAGACAGCTCGGGAACATCTTTGGAGTCATGCTCAAAATCCACAATGCATTGGGTCATGTTCAGGGTGGTCTTGATCATTTCGTTGAGAACACCGAAAACTTGGACCTTTTGCGGGTCTGAGGGCTTTGTGATTGCAGGCAACCCCTTCAATATGGCCATAGATTCCGCGAGCTTGTCCGATGGTTCAACTCGAGCAAGTCGCCAAAAGTCACCATAGAACACAGCAAGTGATGAAAGGGTAATCTGAGCCTTGTTAACCCACGAGTAGCTCGATAGCTCGTGAAAGAGCGAGACCAGTGTTTGGCGCACATTTTTGGTGTCTAGCGCCTTGCAAGTGAGCTGATGCCAGGACGATGAGTTGATGCAAGAGATTAGTTATATGCAACCTCTAAACAGCAGGCTAGAATTCCAACATTTCAGAATATTAAAGCTTCCTAAGTTCGCATGCACATCGAAAAAATAGAAAACGAACCAAAACAAAAAAACTTGAAAAAAAGAAAACCTCAACTACTGGGAGGGAGATCCTTACCAAAAAAAAAAAAAAAAAACTACTGGGAGGGAGATTATGAAATACCTGACAACCCACTTCGTTGATGGCTGCTAAAGGTGGATTGAAGCCCTCTTTCATAGGCTTGAAATCAGGGCTTCCAGATCCTTGAGTGCCCTACCATGAAGTTCAGTTTTTTCAATTAATTTAAGTGAGACCCAACACTTAGAAAAGATCTCGTTATGTCAAACCATGATCAATTCAGGGAGTAAAGTTTTCCATCAATTCATACAAGAAACGAAGTAGCTCATTTAACCAAAGGATATAAATAGAGGAGTTACAGTGTAATACACCTAAGGGCCAGTCCAAACCCATTCAGGCCTAATGAGTCTGAAGAACAATTTTGGGTAAGTGTGGACAAGTGCTTTTTATAGGTCCTGTTTAATTTGAGAAAAGTTATTGAACTTTTCATTTTCATTTGCAAAAGCACTAGTCATTTTTCAATTTTTCAAAATTAGAACTCCCTAGTCAAGACGATAAAAGTGATTTGCGTGATAAATGGATTACACATATTTCGAATCATATAAAAATAAATGAAAAAACACTTGGCAGCTAAAACGCTTTAGCTCAGTCCGGCCAAGAAAATTGTGGCAAGAATCCAAACGCATAATTACTTGGATTAGTGCTTGTTAAAAGTACATGAATAGTGTCTGACGAAAAAAAAAAACAGTACATGAATAGTGCAACGCTTTCTAACATCAATTGCTTCACCTTTCTTGTTTCTCCTTCAGCCATGTGAAGAGCAAAGTAACCAGAAAAAGCAAGCGTGGTCCCCGTAGCCCACTCAATATATTGTCACTTCCAAGGGGATCAGATTCTTACACTTCCAAATCTGATTTGACTTGTTTTTTTTTATTACTTTGTTGAACAATGTATATCTTCCTCTCATCGTTCTTCTTTTAGATCGAAAAAAAGAATAGGCCAATTGATAATCGTCGTCATCATTTTATCAAAGTCTCGACATTAAAATGGCTTCGACCAAAATTATCACCGTATGAACTAATAAGCAAACGATAACCAAATAAGTTTGGCATCCCAATAAGTTCACTTCTGATTTTTTATCCACCGCGCACTTTTTCCACTCATGAGATTACCGACCCACTTCTTCATTTAAATGACTATCAATAGTTTCTTTTTTGATTAAAGAAGGATTTGAACACTAAAGATGTATCACATAAAAAAGATTTTGTAGGTGTGCTCACACATGCAAAATTCAGGAAAATAGGGAAGAATAATTTTGACTAAAAGGGAGTTGGCTTCGAGAAGAAGAACGAGAGGAAGCTCCCCCAAAAGAAAAAGAGAAAATAAGACTCGAGTATTTGGAGCGGCGCGTGCTAAGAAGAAAGAAGCAAGGAAATCTCTTGATTTTGAAGAGAATATAAAAAATACTCCTTAAATATCTCGAGTTATAGAAATGAGGATTAGTTTCTTATGGAGCATACACTGTCAGTGTAAAGAAAAATGTCCACTAGGAGTCTTATCTAACCTTAATTGGTGCACTATAACTACCACCCTCTCACTAACCATTAGATCAATGGAAGAGAAGGTCACTAGTGGAAAGTGTTTTACCACTGACGTTTTATATGTATAATTTTTCAACAAATTTATGGCATTCCGTGAAGGGTGATTACCTTAGGGTTGACGATGGAGTCGACGATAGCAGTTGTCCCATGAAGGGTGTTGTCGACGAGATGGAAGAGAGACTGAACATCCACGTCTCCTTCCTCAGGAGCGTGAGTGTTCACCATCTCCTTCATGAACTTCTCGTCGTCGAAAGAAGCAAGCAGGTTGGTCCACATGCTCTGGTCAATCTGGTGAGGCTTGGCTTTGTGTTCCATGCCAAGGAGATGGGCAAGGATCGTGGCCATTTTGAATCTCAAAGAGAGAGAGAGAGAGAGAGAGAGAGAGAGAGAGGGGGCAGAGTGTGTCTAGGGTTTGAGGGAGTGTTCTAGAGAGAGCAAAGCAGAGAAGGAAGAGGATGCAGGTGGTGTGGTGCGGGGAGAAGCTAGCGTGCATGCTCTATTTATAGCTGTGGATGTGAGAAAGAGACGAATTATACGGACACGTTTTGATAAATGGGGAAGGGTGAGAAAGGAATCAACATCTCCAATGCTCCATCTTTCGTCACCGCAACCTTGTCACCAGTATGAATTCATACTAAAGCGGTCGCTCACTTTTACAGAAGTGCCTATTACAGATAAATCATGATTACTTGAGAATGAAAAGAAATTTCGTGTCCAAATTTGGATACCCCACTTCTCCAAATAATAAGTCTTGTGCCACACTTGGTTTACCGCCATGGCGGTCACAAATAATATATACGAGGACTCATGTCTACGAACTTCATATCATTAATGTGTACGGAGAAATGTCAAATTATTCTTTGAATATGTAAATATTTCCGATGATATGGGTAATATAGCATATGATTTTGAGGCACGCAACAAAATCCACATGTGGGCCTAATAACCCTAAAAAACCTCAAACTTTAACTTTTGTCTTAATTTTACCTAATGTCTCATAAAAAACCTCCAACTTTAGGTCATGTCCCAATTTTACTTTAAACTTTTTTTGTCCCATAAAAAGCCCCCAATTTTAGATCAAATCCCCATTTTACCCTAAACCTTTTTTGTACTATAAAAAAACCACAATTTTGGATTCAGTACCAATCTACCATAAAAAAAAATTTGTTTATAAAAATTCCCAGCTTTAGGTCCAGTTTTAATTTCACTCTAATTATTTTTTTGTCTTATAAAAGATCATTAACTTTTACTTGAGTCCCAAATTTGCTCTCCATTAACCCTTCGTCACTCGTCGATCTCTCATACTTGGGAATGTTTCATCTTTGGCAGTAGGAGAGCTCGCACTCAGAACGCTCGAACAGCTCGTGCTCAGGATGCTTGAACAACTCGTGTTCGGGAATTTTCCATCTCTCGGTCGTTGGAAGGAAGGTTAATGTGGGCAGATTTGTAACTCGACAATAAAAATTTTAGGGTAAAATTGGGACTTGACGATAAAATTGGGACAAGACCTAAAGTTAGAGGTTTTTCATAGGACAAAAGAAAAGTATATGGTAGAATTGGGACATAACCTAAAGTTTATGTTTTTTATGAGACAAAAAAAAGTGTATGGTAGAATTTGGACATGACCTAAAGTTGGTAATTTTTTATGAGATAAAAGATAAAATTGGGACAAAAGCTAAAGTTTGAGGTTTTTTAGGGTGTTAGGCCTCCACGTGTACAACATATTAATGCATTAATGAACTAAATGGCCACAAATTTTTTTTAATATCTCCAACTTTAATAAATCATTGCATAAATTAACAAGTGGATGCATAATCTAATATTTGTGGTTTTTGTCATGGAATTACTCATTTCATCTCTTTATCTTTTTAATTTTTTGATAGTATGAAAAATCCATGTTATACGCGGCTTAAGCAATAAGTTGAACTAAAAGGCGTTTTTGGGTGCAACTGTTCAAAGAATAAAGAAGGGCCCTAGAAGAAGATGCCGATATAGATGTAACATATACTCTAACCTACTTTTCATATATCTTGTTAGTCTTTAGATACCAAAAGACATAAAAATATCATGTTAATTGTTTTTCAAAACAGATATCGCGAGTTTAAAATTATTTTGTGATAAGAGATGCTAGAGTAATAAGGTCATTTCACTATAAAAACAAATATAGATATATTTAAATTTCCCCGGCCACTATAATTTTTCTTACTATACGTAGCATTGCTCTCCTAAAAATATATATATCAAAAAACTTTGCTTTATTCTTTTTCCTGAGAAAAATAATTCTACTTAATGTGGTTGTAAATGCGACATCCGCATCCATTTCCCTCACAATGACAAACAAATCGAAGCAATGAATGATAGTATAAAAACTTATGATTTTCTGAATTTTTAGGTAGATAAAAGTAATTAAAGTGAAAATTGGCTATTTCGTGCCCGCTTGAATGTGGTTATATTTCAATATAATCTTGGAAAAATTCTAAAAGACCCCATAGATTTGATGACTTTTCTCAAACGATCCCTCGGAGTGAGAATTTTTTTTAAATACCTCCAAAGTGTACGATTGTGTTCCCATTGACCCACTTACCTCATCGCGGTTGATAAAAAGCACCTTCCGATAACCAAGTGACAATCATGTGCTCGTTTTTTGCCCTAAATTATACATGATGCTGAGTTTGACTTTCAAATCGATGACAGAGACATTTTGGACAATGCACATTTACTTTAGGGTTTTTGAAGGAGGACTATAAAAGGAATGTGTTGCACAACACATTTCTAATCCTGACCTCCACATTTTTTTACCTTCTTTGTTCTTTCTATCTTCTTGGTAGATCTTTAGATCTTGCTGCTCACCATGTAGTTTTTTGAGCTTTTGGATTGTACTCGCTGTTAAAGATAGTGAAACCCCTCTCTCTCCCCGTGGTTTTTCCCGTTTTGGGTTTTCACGTATATTTTGTGTCTCGTGTAGTTCGATTTTGCTTTAATCCTTACTATTTGTGCTTTGATTTGTGCATCTCTTGGTGTTGTTCCGCAACACATGATTAATTTAAAATGTTGCACTTGCGCGTGCATGAGACTATTAGGATGAAATTGAGAGATGCTCACCTTTTTTTCGAAAAAATGATAGATCATACATGTACCAAATTAAATAAAAGAATTATTACATTCAGTGTAATGTTATTGTAGACGGAAAATGAGGTTCACGAGTCCTCCGTTATGAGCAAAAGATCATAAGAGAAGCAAACAAGTTAGGGCAAGGATGGAAAATTCAAAATTCAAAAAGGAACTTTTAAAGTAGGACATCATTGTATTCACTAATAGAATGCTCGAAATGTTCTATTTACAATTTCTATAGATTGTGATCGAATGCAGATTTATCTATTTTATAGTCACCAAAGATTCAGATATTATATATCTTCTTGATTGCAATACATTCAGCAATCTGAGTTTGGGCGTAGATCAACTAAATTTATCTTGATCGAATTGTTCTTAAAGACACTATCAACAAAGAAAAATCACAAGTTGATTTCATCACTATTGACGCGTGTTGGTCATAACTATCTCTATTACTTCACTGATTGACAAATCAATGTTAATCGATGAAGGTTACTTTTTTCTCCTACAGACGGTGTTTATAGTAAAATTCCTTAGACAAGCTTGCGAAATAACTTAGGAATAGCCTAGCTCAACCGGACTAGTGTGAAAGAAATGCATAGGCTTATCGATATAGCTCCATCGCACAAACGCACATTCACCCCACATGCACCTAACTAGCACTTAGTTTTAAAAAATATGATCATTGTTCAATCTCTCGATAGCGACCTGAATGTTTTAAACGACTAAATTATGGAGCTTTTCAAGAATTGTGCTTCTTAGATCGGATTGAAATGGCTTTGATCACTCCCTCCAAAGCTTTCTTAATTCTTAATTAACCCCTATCTTTTCCTTTTTACTTTTTATTTTTTTGGATTTTCGCCAATAATTACTCCTCCTCTTTTTAACTGGTGGCGACATATTGAGGAATGATAATCTGGGAAATCTCGCCGGACACCAGGTGTACGTTTCTATTGGGAGTAGAAAGATATGGGGTTAGGTTTTCCAAACCCTAGAAAATAAAGAATGAAAAAAACATAAGAGAAAATTGTTATTGATAGAAATAAAATAATAAAATAAAGACCAGAAGGAAGGTGATTCACGTGTTGGCATAGGCATAGGGCAGTAGTGATGCCCAATACATCAACAGAAAAGGACAAGGTGCTTTAAACTTCACCAGTTTTTCTCAACAATTCTTTATTAATTGCTATCTCTCTCTCTCTCTCTCGGAGCAATAATAGTCACCTAACCTTTTTTTTTTGGTCAAAATAGTCACCTAACTTGAGAAGGCACTCTTTGTTGCTCTTTCATTAATATTTGAAATGTTATTTTTTTTTGTAAGGTAACATGTTGAAATGTTATTTTAATTCCTAAATTGTATCAAAAGACTAGAATATGCAGCACTAAATTAAAGAACGATTGATAAGCCATTGAAGTAAATGGTTTTTACATAAAGCACATTACCCTTTCTCCTACTTACTTTAAATTTTTTCAATCTTAAAGAATAGATAATTTACACGTAAATTTATTGTTCGAAGAATGTTTTGCATAATGTTTCTCATAAAAGGATGGCAGACTCAAAAGATTGTGTACCTCAGCGCAAAGCGGGGAAAAAGAACAATGTTATTGGATTGCCTCAACATTTTCATGTGTGTTTTCTCTTTCGATGTCCATTGCAACAATCACCGGTGGAATTGAGTTAAGTTCTGTTGGAGCAGGTTGGGCTTTGTTTAATGACACTCAACATCGCTCACTTGATCCTAAGTTGAGAGCTCGAGATCATCGATTAATACTCATCTCGTGAGACTTGATAACTTAATATAACTTAATTGAGTTTAGGGAAATGTCGATTTTAAAAAAATCACCTAATCATTCGAATCTTTGTTGTGGCACATACAAATCATACATAACCACTTCTTTATTGAATAAATTGTCGAGTCAGAGTTCGAATATCTCTGTTTTTATTCGAGTCTACCCCCAGCATGAATGTTGTACCTCGAGAGTCACGAGATGAATAGCAACAATAAATGATACTGAGAAAAGACGACAATTCAATAATTTTACCTGCTTTTCCGACCAATAAAAGAAATGATTTTACCCGCTTTTGAGGATTACAGTGGAATTGACAAGGAGCGACAATGCTACACGTGTAATCTGGGATGAGAGCGACAAAACGACCCACACAAAATCCATTCATTCAAAGAACCATCAAGACCTTGAGGGGACCGTGAATGGAGGCTGCATTTTAACTTCAAAAGCAATATGAAAAGAAATTTCCTCAGGGAATGCTCTAAAAGGTATCTCTTAATCAAATAATCGAAAATAGTTATGATTTTCAATACAATAATTATCTCGTGTTATATATAAAAACTATTTTGAAAAGTTAATTATTTCTCGTTTCGTATGTTTAACAAGTCTCTCCAAAACACGTTCACGAGACTCATAACAAATAGATGTTGTGAT